AAAGTGCCATCTTCCCATAGACTCTCTAAAAATAAGCATTAGAATAAAATAAGAACATTATTAGAGTCTCTACTAAAAATACAAAAATGTCACAGAAATATAAAATGTAATATAACATTTGATTCTTCAGCTAGTCATTATTTTTACTGTGTTTAATGTCTTTGTTTTGAAATAAATCTAGATCTGAATGTAGTTCATACAATTCCTGTAATTAATAACTTTTATAGAAAGTTAGGCAGCCTTGCTAGAGGTTGCAGATATGTTTCCTGTCTTGCTTAGAAATGAAACAAGAAATTAGAATATTTGATGATAATTCTTATTAAGGAGATTATAATAAAGGTAAATAAGATTAAAAATAGTGGATCAGTATTTCTGTATCGCATCATCAAAGCACTACATTTTTTTAAACTTGGAGCAAAGGTGGTTGTGATCTACTCATTTTTTAAGAACTATGGCACAGATTTTCCACAGATCTCCAAGTAAAACCTTTTTATGGGCTGCTGGAACATCACTGAGGTCTCTGTGCTTCACGGGAATACAAAGAATGCCACTCATGGCTCTGAAGAAATTGCAAGATTGATTTTCAGAAGTTTGGGTCCTAAATGACAGTTACATTTAATAAGAATCTCCACCAAGATTCTAGCACAGAAGGAAGATCAAAGCAATTACTTAGCTCTTGCAAAATGAAGTAGGGAAAGTTCCAAAGTATCAAAGCATGCAAGTGGAAATAGCAGGAAGTCTTCACCAAATTGTGTGAGATGAATGGGATGCTTGAGCAAAGCTGTTGGGGGCCAGGTTCCAATTTTGCATAGTGCTTGCTTGGTTTTGTTCCATGTGCTCAATTATTATTATGTATAGTTTTATAGCATTATCATAAAGAGATCCTTAAAAAAATGGAGACTAAAGTGAAAGCCAGGTCCTTATTTCTGTTGCATTTTTTGCTTTTCTTTTCATGAGCTGCAGCCTCTTTCACTTTGCTTCCTTTCCCCTGGACTTTCTCCGAGCGAGACAGTGGTTATTCTTCCAAATAGGTTTTTGAATGTAGTCCCTAGGGGTGCATTTTAACTGATTCAAGTTGTGAGGCAGATTGTGCAAATTGCTCAGTGTGTGCAGCCAGGACCACTGCAAAAGTAAATCCCCTTCTGCAGCTGCTTTATTTGCTCTTGAGCAGTGGGACACCGATGGCTGTTCGGGAAAAGCAACTCAGGCAAAAAAAATATAGGTGCTTCAATATTTGGAGGTTTCATCCTTGGAAGGAATAGTTTGCTTCTTGACTTCTTTACCTTCTAAGCTGTTTCCTGATCTTTGCAGCCTGGGGGAGAGGATCTGTAGGGAAATTCTGGGGGGTGCATGTTCAGTGGTTGTACCACGTGTCTGTGAGTGTTTTCATAGCAGTAAGGTTTGGGAATTATTTCAGGCTACGAGGAGGCAAAGCCTTGACTTTGACATTATGGAGGGAAGGAACCTTGAGTGAGAGTGCAGTGAGTGCCATTGGCCCCAAAAAGGATGAGATCTTCCAGTTCTTGGCAGAGGGTTGACTGATAAATTCTTAAAACCTTGTGGGAATGGGAACACTGCAAATTCTGTCGGTGTTTCCCTGATGTTCAACTGAAGTCTCTCTTGGGGCAGCTGAAACCCATTTTGGGGTTGTATTTTAGGCCCATTATTTCTTCTCTTATCCCCAGTGGAAAAGGAGAGTAGTTCCCAGTAATCTTTACATATTTGGCTGTAAAGGCTTTCCTTTTACTTCCCTGACTATATAAATCAATAATTTTCAACACTGGACACGCTGTGCCAGCTGCAGCCTTACCTGTGTGAATGCACTGGAAAGATTATTCCACACTTCTTCCACATAACATACTAACTAATATAGCAGGAAATGCTTGAGCACTTTTATCAGCAAATTGCTGTTGTCTCACATTCAGCTCATTTTGACTCCACATTCTCTTCTGTCTTGTGAGTCATCTGCTCTATTGTAATTGGGAAGTTAATTGTTTCCCTCACACAAAATGCTTTTTACTTGCCAAATTGAGTTGCATCCTGCTATTTTAGACTCTTCAAATTGTGAAAATTGTTTTGAACTCTAATCCTGTTCTTCCTGTACTTGCAATGGCTCCCAACTTTGTGTCATCTGAAAGGCTTGATAAGTTCTCCCTGCCTTCTGGCTTTCAGGAAATATTGAATGATTCTAGAAGCAGAACAAACCCCATGAACCACGTCATCCATCTCTCCACTTGACAGTATGCCATTGATAACTGTTCTGAATACAATCTTCCAACAAGCATCTACCTGCCTTACATTAGATTATGGTAATTCTCTCACTTTCAAACTACTCCTATTTGGCACATCTCCTCCTCATCCATCACTGCATGCTGAAAGTGATTATGATTTTATTCTCCATTTGTTTCTGGGTTGAACAGAAGCAGAGCAGGTCGAATGCTCAGTGAGTTAATGTTCTGTGTGCTGGATGTGTGTGTTGGTATTTGGTGAGCCTGGATTGTGTTCTAAAAATAAACAGATGGTTTCAGTACTTCCTGCAAGCCCAGCCTGAGGACTGGTGAATAAAGCAAAAGAACAAATAAAGATCCTTGAGATTCTCTATGCAGAACTCTCTTGGCCTGTATTTGTCTTGATCATGATAAATAAGGATGGAGCTTTTTGGTGTTTATAGATTTGCCTCCTAAGAGATGCCAACACTTCTCTGTTGCTGACCCCAATTCTATGGATTCTGAATGTAGTGGCAAAAATCAGCCCATGTAATTTGGATAGATTTGGTTCTTAAAAACCTTCAGTTTCTCTTATAGTAATTTAAACAGTAAACTGCTTTTTAGCTTTTTATTGTGTTTGAAATTGAAACTTGACTTTGACTCAGCTTCTGGCAAGTGGTTTATGGTCTGTGACAGAGGGTATGAATAAAACTATTGAAACAACAGCTTGTGTTAGTACCTTTATACAGAAATAGAAACCAAACATTTTTTATGTCTTAAAAGCCAAAATTTTAATTTTTATTTTGGCACCTCTAAAGGTATTTAATCTGCTTGATATATTTCAAACCATAGGCAAGGGCTAAACTGTTCAATACATCAAGAGACAAATTAAAATACCTGTCTAGGAAAAAACATCAATTTAGTGAAGGAATTGACTTTTCTCAGTGGAAACTGCGGAATACAAAATATGGCATCTCATACAACTCATCTGTAGGCTAGAGTTAACTATGTTAATTAGGTTAAAAAACCCAAACAAACATAGAAACTCTGCATAAAAAAAAAATAATGGAGATAAAGTGTGGTATACTTAATACAAGCCCAATTGAAATACAAGTTCATTGATATTTGGATCTACTATATTAGGGGAAAAAAAAGAATGTGGGCCAAATTCTGATAGCCTAGCTTTGCATTAGAATGCTTTTTATGAGTCATTTCACTTATAACAATAGACTTATTTGCAGAGTACATCATTATTATTCATCAATAGTAACCCACTCAGTCCAAACCAGCCACAACTGTCAGGTACTTTCAGAATTAAGCATCATTTACTTTCCTTACCCAGGCTGCCATGGAGGAAATGACCCTACTCTTTCACTGACTGTGTTTTGCACCTATCAAATCTGATAAATGGGGTTTATTGTTCCCCTGCTTTCACTCAGAAAACTTAAAACAAGCATTTTCTTCACTGTGTGGCAGAATAATGTGAGTTGCCTCCTGAGGCACTTTCACCTGCTGGTCCATTGGCCTTGAGGCTCCATATCCCACTTACCATGGGCTTTTTATTCCCAGTGCTGAGAATTGGGAGCTTTCCTGTCCCTCTGGACATGTTCCTGTGTCACCTGCTCCAGCTGTCCCTTCCTTGGCACAGGGGCTGGACCTGCTCATCTCCAGAGGTCCCTTCCAGCCCCAGCCCTCCTGTGGCTCTGAGTTCTTTTAGGAACAAGAGATTTCTTTGCCTTGGCTGCTGCATAAGGCATAAGGCAGAGGTTTCATTTTCCTGCAGAACTGTACAATATGTGAGGCAACAACCAAAAATATTTTATGGGGAAAAAGTTGCAAGAGTGTAGGTTACAAGCCAGCTCTCATGTTATATTTGGTGGTTTATGGAGGAAGTGTATTGCTTTATCATAAATGCCTTACACCCCCTTCCTCTTAGCATGGTCTTCAGCCATGAAAAGAAAGTCTGATCAGGTTTTGATTAGTGTTACATTGTTAAAGATAAATGGATATTTAATAAATATTAGCATTTTCTTTATAATTTGTAGATTTTGGAATTTACTAAAAGGCGTCTCTGTTAATGCAAAAAGAATATTTCTTTATCTACATGAATAGGTAATCTCAGCATTTCAGCCAGAATGTCATTTCCAATAAACTTGGTTAGTAGAACCTGTGCCAGACAAAAGAATAAGAGATAGATGAAGCCTCCACAGCTATTCCAACACCAAGAGAGAAAGCAAAACTAAAACAAAGATTTATTGAGTTGCTGTCAATGTCTACAAGGAAACATTATTTATTTTTTAATGGAATTAAAAAAAAAGGATAAAAAAAACCCTCCACCATATTTCAATTAAATATACACAAGAGCAGATTAAATATTGGGTTTGGGTTTAAATTATTTTAAACACTCTGAAGAGATGTGGTTAACAGTGTTCACAGAGTCAGCTTTCTATGTGTTCTGTTTGGAAATTCTGTGGGGAAAAGATGGATTTTTGTGGGAGGTAGGGCAGAAACCAAGAAGTTTGTCAGGAATAAAATGTAAAACAAATATGTATTACAGCTACAATTAATTCTTGGGTTTTGAACCACAGTTTCAGTGCACCTCTAATTAAATCAAGGTAGGTGACCTCTAATGTAATTTTTTCAAAATCTCAAATTATTCATCCTTTGTATTAAGAGGCAACCTAACCAGGCCTTTGACATTTTTATATACCAATATTTGCATATATCCATAAAAACATCTGCAAACTGAATTTGTGTCTGTACCTGACTGTTTTTCCCCCCCCGTTATTGTAGCTATAATTAAAACAGCTCTTCCCAACATGGACAGAGAAGCCAAAGAAGAATATTTTGTGGTCATCCAAGCAAAGGACATGGGAGGACATATGGGTGGACTCTCTGGAACTACAACAGTGACAATTACACTCAGTGATGTGAATGACAATCCTCCTAAGTTTGCACAGAGTAAGTGCCATTGTATGTATGTGTGCCCCTATATAAGAAGTTATTATTGTGTTGTTGTTTTGTTGGTTTTTTTTTTAAATCAAGTATTATTTTTTTAACTGCATATTGCCTGGGTTCTTAATGTAATTTAAAAGATATAGTTGTTACTAGAGCAAGGTTAATAGTCCTCTGCCTGATTAAGAGCTTAGGAAAGAGGGAATTATGTCCACAGCAGTGTATGCAGATTTCTGCCTTCCTTGTTACCCCTCTTACATATACCCAGAAGAGCCTGGAGACTTCTGAAAACATATTTATTTCCTCTCAGTGCAGTTGTTTCTGTGTGCTTTGTTGCTTCCATCTCATGCAGACAAGTGACACCACTAGTAAAAGACACATATAACAGATAAAAGGAATAAAGCCTTGACTAATTAGGCAATACTGAAGAAAACAAAGAAGATAAGTCTGAATCTAGATAATTGTTGATCTTTAATTCAAAATCCATATTTTCAACTGTGGTTCCAATGGGTATCTTGCTGAGCTAGGTTAAAATGATTTGGCATCCTGCTGAGATTCTCTGCAAGCTTTGTAGTCTATTTCCAAGATGAAGTCAAAAAGAAAAAAAAGGGGAAGAAGAGCATAATGACTGGATTGATTTTATTTGGAACAGGTGCAACCTAATACACTATTAGAAACATATCATTTTACTCAGCTTGTTCTGGAAAATTAAAAGTTCAATTTTTTTTGGGCCTGCATCTAGATTTTCCATCATTTTTGTTGTCTTAGAAGCGTATTTTTCTAACAAGGTGCTCAGGGACACAGCATAAAGTTAATTTTTTTCCATGTATGGATGACTTGAAATCCACTTTTGCCCTCTTCTGAAGATACAAAGTAAAATGGGTTTATCCTGGTGTTCAGCATATGATAAATATGCTTCTGTAGCCTGTAGAAAATGTCCATAGAGATGGAGAGAGAGAGAGAAATCTAATACAAATAAGCAGAGGCAAAAGCTTATTTTCAAAACATATATTTTATTACCTCATCTTAGTGGTTTTTAACAGATAAGCACTCTGCACAATAAAAGGTTTTCTCTCATAAAGCAGGAAGTGCACAAATTTTTTCCTTTGTGTCCCGTTGCATTGCCTTTCCCCCGGTGTTAGTGTTTTCCAGCAATTTCCCTAACAGTGCAATGTCTGTGGATGAACTCTATCACCAGCATGCAGAGAGATGTCTCTTTTATACCTGCAGAGTCCTGTGGCTCCAGCTCAGGGAGCACAGCCCTGCCTCTGCCGGCTTACCTGGCTTTTAAATGGTACCAGGATGGCAAAAATGGGACCTGAAAATCAGTGGCACAAAGCTGGGGCAGCGCAGGAGCGCAGCGTGGGGACCTGAAACTGTCCTTTCCCACTGTCCTTTCCTTTTGGGCACAGTGATGCACTGACTGGGGGCATCAGCAGAACTGCATTGTCATCCCTGGAATTCATTTGCTCCTGGATGAGTTTTCCTGCAGCAATGAGGAAGGTGTTGCCTCTGAAGCTGTCGCAGCCCCTGCAGGATTCGAGCTTCCCTCTAGGAATAACCATTGACCATTATGCAAATTCTTCAGGAAAAAGCCCTGCATGTGCCCTCACTGGGTATTTTGTATTTATTGCTTTAATGATGAGCAGGAACATTAGAGCTGGGTTTATTTACAAATTCTGCCTTTTTAAAAGGCAGCATTGTGAGCTGGGTGCCCGGCACCACAGATTAGCCACGACTCTGCCCTTGGACAGGAGCTGAGCAGGTCTGACATTTTTTTTTTACACTGTTGAAGCACAGTTTGCATTAGCCTGGAAAGGAAAATAAGGAAGGATCAAACTTACAATAAGCCTAGCTAGAATGAAATCGAAATTCATAAGATGTAATACATGCTGCTTGCACAATAAATGGTAATGAGCTCAGGAAACAGGGTGTTTTATCGGGTTATTGTTTCCAGGCAGGACAGAAATGTATATTTATGGTTTGATTTCAGAGTGTTAGCCTCCTGGGTTTTAGAAATGAAAAAGATGAACTTTCACTACTTCTGTGATCTCTCTGAAATAATTTTACAGGCATTTTATAAGTCACCAAAGTTTTTAACCTGGCAGTTTACCACAGAATTGTAATGAGAAGAACTGTGCACTGCTGTGGAAACCCAGGGCTTTCAAAAATGCCCAGTGTGGATATTTTGGTCAGCTCAGCACTACGACACAATTCATAATTCTGGAGAGGAATTTGTGTAAAAAGAGTCAGCTGGATCATAATTTTTATTTTTTTTCTTAATACTTTGTAAACTATTTTAATAAATCTGAGAGCTAAATTTCAGCTTAACAATGCAATCAGCTGTGCCTGGAGATTCAAACCACAAAGTGTGGACAGCAGTGTAAATGATGAACGCATAATTTAGTCTCCCAAGGCACTTCATTGCTTTGGCTGCTCATTGTTTCTGAGCCATTATGGATATTCTGAGGAATATTGATGATCTCCAAATTATCTCTAATAATTTAGCCTAGGAACATTAAAAACAAGTCACTTTGGGACCTCATTGTGTAGCTAATCCATGTATTTGTGAATTCCTCATAGTTTCCTTCCTAGTTTCAACTGTTGCTACTGCAATCAGCTACAACAGGTAGCTGACAAGCAACAGCTCCAGAACATTGTTTTTGGATTTTTTATTACCTTTATTTTATTTATTTATTTAACTCTTTTTAAATTTAATTTTATTTATTTAAATTATTATCTGCATTTAACAGATTGTCTTAGAACAGCAGGGAGGACACAGAAGAACAAAGCAAGAATCCTGTGTCAAAACTGTTTGAATGGTCTCTTCTATTATCCTTGAATTCATTTTGCCTATTTTAACTCTTGAGCAGCATTTAATTTTATTAAATTATGTATTAACTTTAACTTCAATAAGTGTCTGTTATAAAGAGGTAGAAATACAGGGACTCCAGAAAGATTTTTGGGTGCAAAATGTCTGTCTTCTGGTTCTTAGAGTACTGTTAGGAACAGGGAGATACAAAAGAAAATGGGTATTTTGGGTTTTACCTTAATAAAATTCCTGCCTAAAAAAAAAGTTTAAAGGTTTAAAAGGTTTGAAGCCTGTGTAACAAAAAATAAAATGCTGACAATTTGAACAGCGATTTCCAATGGATTTTAGTCTAACTCTACAACAAATAGTAAACACAGTAATGATTGCTATGAAAAGTTATTGTTTCCAGTAAAAAATAAATTTCTGGAGTTTCCTTGAATGTATTCTGATTAGTTTCTTACCACAAAAGAGAGGTGGAAGGGTTTAAACAAACAAAATCAAATTGCATTTTAAAAAGTATTAAATATTTGAAGTTATGTAGTAAATATTTGAAGTTATGTAGTAAATATTTGAAGTTATGTAAGTGTTTACACAATAGGTTTTTAACACATTAGACCAATTTTTTGTGGAGTAAACGCCAAAGTTTCTTGGTTCAGTTGTAACTCCTTGTCAATAAAATATCTGTATAAAAGGGTAAGTTCTGCAGTGTTGAAAGGAGCTCAATATTTGTGTTTGCCAAAACAAAACATCCCTGCAAGGAAGAAGCAGGAGACTGCTGGAAAGGAAAGGACACTCACCTACAGTACAGTGAATATTCTTGTGTGAGGACCACGCTCTGCTGCTTTCAGTCAATAACTTGTGTAAATGGGGGTTGGATCACTTGCACATCTCAAGAGTTGGCATTGGGGATGTGTAAACATTGAAGAGCACACAGGGGACACTGGGACCAGCTGTAATGTTTAGTCTTTTCCTCTTATTTGGAAGGTCTGTATCACTTCTCAGTAATGGAAGATGTTGCTCTTGGTGAACCAATAGGAAGGGTGAAAGCAAATGACCTGGATATTGGAGAAAATGCTAAATCATCCTATGATATTATTGAAGGAGATGGAATGGATGTATTTGAGATTACTACAGATGCCCAAACTCAGGACGGCATTATTAGAGTGAGAAAGGTAAATCATGTCTCTGTTAAAAACATAAATGTTTATTGTACATACAGCTACCCAGCCAGACTTTGCTCTGTGAGAAAATGCTGGATTTCCAGGGAATCATCTATGGATGAGGTGTCAAGCCAGTAGAGTGATGAAAAGGGATGTATTGGCCATGTTCCTCTGAATTTTCATTGAGGTGACAGCTGGGGAGACATCCATGGGTGCTGGAAATGTGTTAATCTTGTCCTGTCTCCTGTGTGGTCACATCATGCTGGTTTTGCTTCCTTGGTTCCAAAGAACAGTAGATTACATTCCACTTCTGTGGTGTTTTAAACTTCTGTAAAATCTTGGCTGAGTATTCATCAAATAACTTCTCTCAGTTCTTTGATTTCCTGTGTAGCTGTTCAGAGAAAAATAAATCACAGTGCATTAATTAAATTACCTGATATGTGAGAGCTCAGTCTTCTGCCTTTTCTTATGTTGAACTGTCTTCTCTCAAAGAAAAGGGATTTCAGTGAATTTTATTAAGGAGATCAGTAGTTTAATGTGAGAAGTGCCAAATTTGGGCCCTGAAGAAAACCCAGTTACGTTTCCTATGTTACCTTTTCTTGATGTGTGTACAAGGTGAGGTATTTGCATGTACACAACAAAACCACCCAATTATGTACAGAAGTTTGGGGAGAGGCAGCACAGAACAAAACTCCTCTAGTAAAGCCAGGGAAACATTAATTGCAGATTTAGCTGCCATTATTTTCTGGGGAAAGAGAAAAAGCTGTTCCTCATGCTGTGTTCTGAAAAAGGATATGAATATAATTTATAGCAGCAGCAGAGGGTTTTAACTGCTTAGCATGGATCACTCTAAATGAATCTTTTTTTATTAAAAAAACAAAACAAAACCAAACCCAAGCCATGATATTCCAGGGAGAAAAGGTGAATCCAATGAGCACAGGTAATTAATATTCCACTTGTACCTGTCATTAAAGAGGTCAGGCAGATTGCCTGTCAAAACTTTGTATTTTCTCTTTCTCAGTGAGTAGGTCAGCTCTGTAGCTTTATAATAAACTGATGTATATTTATCTAAATTTACATTTGTTTTTCTAAAGAGAAAATTATGATATACATCCCAGCTCTTCCTTACTGTTATTTATTGTATGTTGTGGCCTCTCCTGTAAGCTGAGGCAATTAGCCTTTTGCCCCAGTTCCCTTGGCTTTATTTTATAACTGAATCTCAACCGTAATTTTGTTTCATATTTTCATTTTGACAGCAATAATAATTTTGGTTCTACTCCAGTAGATGATGTATGGAGGGTACTGCTCACCAACAGATTTTCTTCAGCATAAAATCATGGGCTTTAGACAATGCTGAGTAAATTTTCAATATGATATTCTGATTAGGCATGACTAAATGTATTGGGGTGCTGTCATTTCTGTAAAGCAAATGAAAAGCAGTTGAAAAAGTGCTACAGGAGCCATGATTGGCAAATTGTGAATATGCTGATTTATAAATCCCCATGCATAATTTCAAAAGCTTACTAATTTAAGAGCTGCAAAAGAAGTAAGATTTTCTTGTGTTTACTAGAATTTGTGAGAAAGAGCAAATCCCATTAGAGCTTGATTCATACCTGAAAAAAATCAACAGAATTTGAAAATACACATATTGAAGGCTTTGACAGACTTCCTGAAGATTCCTGTTTGTGCTCTTGCTGGTATTTGCATTGCAGATTCAGAGTGTCTATGTCCTCTTCTTTTTATCCCTGAGACATTATAATGCAAATCTTAATATCATTCCAATGCTTGGCAATTTGCATCTTTGAAATTTGAATCATTGTGAGACACAAGAGAATTATATAGTGAATATACTGATGTGCTTCAAGACACAAACTTGAATCTCCCATAATGAAAAAGTCTAACACTCAAAAGTGTCACAGATTTGGGGTTTATTTGGTATTTCAGTCCCTTAAATCCACTGAGTTTTCATCTTTTATGAGTTAATATGGAACTGTAAAATAGTAAAAACAGTGGTGACATGGCAGGTGTATTGATAGAATAAAGTAATTTGTTTTATGATTCTGTCTGTGGGAAAAAAAAAAAAAGAAAAAAAGAGAACAGATGCAGAAGTAGAAATTGCTACAGTTTTAAGAAATTCCTGAGAGATATCTACCTCATTTACTCCTATAAACTGAAATACAGAGGTACTTGTAGTGCAAGAATATTGAAGTACTTATATGATTAGCTCTACATTTTACCTCTCCTGTCCTGCAAATAATAATTTCTAGTTCTTTGCATTTCTCACATTGTTCTGGAAGTAATAAAATATTTATTCTTTGTGGAGCCAGTTTAATTTTTTTTTTCTTATCTCCAGCCAGTAAAGCACTGATGAAGTGCATTATTGGTATGCAACTCATGTCATCCCCAACAAATTTGTAATATTTGTCTGATATGTAATTGTAATGGTAAAATTCATGAGAGAGAATATTTCAGCAAATTTCTTGTAAAAAACAAGAAAACAGTGCTGTTTTCTCTGAGTCTGGTAAATAAACAGCTACCAATATGTGCCTAGAAAATCTGGAGGTTGGGTTTCTGGGAGAGGCAAATGACTGCATTTTGTGTGCTTAAAAATGCACATAACTCCCATCCATCAGCATTGCTATCACTTATTCTCTGTGGCCATTAGTAAAAGCCATTTCTCTTTGTCCTTCTCAACAGCCACTGGACTTTGAGACCAAAAAGTCCTACACTCTGAAGGTGGAGGCAGCCAACATTCACATCGACCCTCGCTTCCTCAGCGGGGGCCCCTTCAAGGACACAGCAACCGTGAAGATCGTGGTGGAGGATGCTGATGAGCCACCAGTCTTCTCCTCGCCCACCTACCTTCTGGAAGTACATGAAAATGCTGCTCTCAACTCTGTGCTGGGGCAGGTGACAGCCCATGACCCTGATGTGTCTTCCAGCCCTATAAGGTAGGGCTGCTTGAATGTGTTTTTTGGGAACACTGCTGGCAGATCCCAAGTGTATTTCCCCTCTCATTGTGTGACTGTTTTCATGCTGTTCTGCTTCTGTGAAAGTGCCTGGACAGCATTTGTTTTATGATGTTAGATTTATCAGTTCAGATCATTTTCAAAGTCCCCAAAATACTCTTTGCCATAGTAGTCTTATGAAACAGAGGAATGCAATGAAAATAAGAAATGTGAGTGGTTCTTATGAGAAATGAGATTGGATGGGCTTGAATCATCAGAGTGTATCTCTGCAGTGAATTTAAATAATCCAGTAGTGTCTGCACTAACAACACTGAGTTTGTGCCATGCAGTTGTAAGGTTGTCAAAACATATTTTGTATTCCTTTGTCTAAAGCCATTTGTGGTGTACAGATGGAAAGTCAGAGATGATTATACCCATATGACTTTTGCATCATCAGTTTATAATATTTTCCCTTTTTGATCTGATTTGAACAAAATCTTTTATTCCAGTTTGATCAGATCAGTGGGTTTTATCTAATTTGACGAGCACACATGTTCCACTCCCCCTTGGTGGTGATTGCATGGCGTGGTGAGTGTTCCAAAGCACATTCTGCTCTGTGTAGAACTGCCTGCTAAAAGCATTAGGAAAACCAACACCAAAATGTGAAATTCATAGCAAAAGTATACGTGGGGAGACTCTATTTGCTAGTAATCATCACTGTGCATTGCTGCCTCGGGGACTTTAAGCCAGACAAGTAGTCTGCAGCATCAGGAGGATGATGTTAGCTGTTACAATCCATCATTTTCTATCACTATCATTTTCTAATCATTGTCACTTCCATCGGGTTTCTTGCAGAGCTGGACTTGAAACCATTACATAGAGGCCCTACATGATGCATGTCATAGTATAGATATCTTCAGAATTAGAAATTCAGAATTGCCAGCATGTCTGGATGCTTTAGAACTTGTGTGTGAAGATGTTGGAGAGTATGTTTGAGTTTTACACAACTTCCTTCCGAGGGGCAGCTCCTCTCTCTGCCCTGAGGCAGGGACAGCACCCAGGGAGTGGCTGGAGCTGGGCAGGCTCAGGCTGGAGATCAGGAAAGGTTCAGCTTCCCCCAGAGGTGCTGGCACTGCCCAGGCTCCCCAGGGATGGGCACAAGGCTGCCAGAGCTCCAGGAGCCTTTGGGCAGCGCTCCAGGGATGCCCAGGGGGATTGCTGGGGGGTCTGCAGGGCCAGGAGTCAGACTCAATAATGCTGGTGGGTCCCTTCCCACTCAGGATATCCTCTATGATTCTCTTTTCTAAATCAGACTTTCAAAAGTAGATAAACACAGCATCAGCTACCATACATTTCTAAACAAAAATACCACAGAATGGCAGGGTTTGATCTGTCACAGCTGAAGGAGTGTCTCCATCCCTATTTTTTTGCTGCTGCCCACTGGTGTCTGTGAAAAAGGCACTGCTGGTACAAAAAGGATCCTCTGAAAGGTGTGTGAGACCAGCCATGGTGACAGCAACTTGGCTCTCTTCCCTGTATTCCAGCTCCATAGCAATTTCCCTTTCAACTGAACCTCAGCTCCTTCCCTCTGCCCTGCTCTGCTTTGCTCTTGGCTTGGTCCTGGCTCCTCTGCCTCTTCCCCATCCCCTCTGCTCCTCATCCCAGCCTGGCTTCCCCCTGCTTCACTTTTACCTTGGCTGTTTTCCCACTCTTGTTCTGCCCTGGAATTCTTTTCTTACCTGCCTCAAACTCTTAATAATTTAGACCATTTACAAACCTACCTCTGTTCTAAAAGTTAGCCTCTTTATTCTGTCCAAGCCCAATAAATGGATCTGAGTAAAAGATTTACCTAATTTCCACTTTTTCACTATTTTTGAAATCAAGAAACCTTCAAACTTTTAAAACCAAAAATACTTTGTGTTTCTAAACTGAATTAGAATGCTCATCAGGTCATGTAAAAACACTTAGCATACATGAAACTGAACTGGCCAAAATTCATTACATTTAAACAAAAAGGTAATTTATGAGTATGATTTCTATATTTTCTTTAAATAATAGATACAGTACTTCATAAGATTTAATATTTTCTAAAATATTAGCTTAATAGCTAATTAAAGAATGTACAGAGCTCAATTTTATGTGCAACTTTTTTGCTCTTGTTTGCTTACCTGATTAATTTGGATTCATGTGGGAGAGCTCTAGAAAGCTCAAATTATTATTTTTTTAAATTTTTTTGCATAAAAAAATATTATAAGGACAGAAAAAAATTCAAGTTAGTAATTCTACAATTAAAAGAGGAAAAATACTAGTTGGAGTAGGGAGCAGGAATACAATTCCTTTCTTTCCAGTTTGGAATAAAATAGGAACCTAGCAGGTTCTAACAGAAATATATTCAAACACTGGTTTTATTGATTAGAATTCTATTTCAGGTGTTTCTTCTGTTATTGTATGATGTATATAAGGCAGGTTTTATGTATATTTTCTATGATACCGTTTCATAAATATTAAACTTTAGTTAAAATTCAGAAAAATGATAACAAGCTGCTCTAAAAGTGATGGACTGTTTTAATGTTAGTGTGGCCTTTTTTAAATGCCTTTTCTTTTCCTCCAAAACAGAATTTTAGCAGCCAACAATGAATTGAATTTCAAGGAAATTACATTTTTTCAATAGATATCTGTCCTATCAATATTTTGCTTAGACAGAGCTACTGTGTACATTTGTTATAAAAACCCAGGCAGCACAAACAAAACATGAATCACCTTCTGTGCTCCCAATACTGTCTGCTTTGCATTAGTCTGACACACAAAGGCTCCACACGTTCAGAGGATTGCAGTGCCACAAATGAAATCAAACTTGGATATCTCTGCACATGGGAAGAGTTTGATAATTGAGTCAAAGGATAAAATGTTAAAGAATTTAGAAAAATTATTATAAAACATAGCTTGGAAAGAAGCCTGTGGTCTTAGTGGAAGGTGACCCTTCCCAAGGCAGAGGTTGGAATGAAATGATCTTTAGGATCCTTTCCAACCCAGACTATTCAATGATTTTCTTTGAACTTTTTTTTTTTAAGGGAAAAAAAAAAAATGTTCATCCTCATTTCTACCCAATTCACCAGTAGTTTGGTTTTAATGCTTGCTTAGAAAAGATGAAGCATTGTGTGAACTTTCTCTCGTTTGATCTAAAGGCACAGAGCCTCTCACAGGTTTACAAGCAGGAATGGAATAGATGGATTAGATAAAGAACAGATGGAATAGATAAATTTTGGGACTGTCCTGAATTCTCAGGCAGAGCCAGGAGTTGAAATTCGATGATTCTTGTGGGTCAGAATGTTCTGTGATTCTATGATATTTTTTCTAATCCATCAGCTTTAAATTAAGCAGCAGAATCTCTTTTTGATCCTTAGCTGCCATTGTGCAGTGCATGCTGCTTAAGGGCCTCCTATTTTCGAGGCTGATGGTGAAAATGCTTTCCAGAGTTGGGTACTAATTGCAAAGATGGTCTGTGGTTTGTTGTGTTCCAGCCCAGTAATTCTGGGACGGCGTGTCAGGCCACATCTGGATGCATGCCTCTCCTTTGGGAAAGGGGCCCAGTGAGTCCAGCTCAGCTGTGAGGCTTTGCTGTGGCTGGTGTGGGCAGGGTGGCACATCCTGGGAACAGCTCCAGCCTGGGAACATTATCCCCTGTTGGCACAGGCTGTGGGTTCCAGCAGTGCTCACTCCCTGTGTTAGTGTTCAGGAACACAGAATCATGGAATGATTATATGAAGGTGCTTTATTGAAGAGCTCAGGGTGTCAGGAGTACACATACCCAAATCTGACCCAACTTGGTTTGAGTTCAACATGTTTTTATACTCTATCATTATATAACTTTCATATTAATTATTAAACTTACATTGTTCTATTGTATGCATTGATTTACCCAGGCATGGATTTCTCGTGATCCACCCAAACCCCTAACACAGTTTCTCATGACTCTTTAAACAATAATTATATCTAATCACATCTAACAATTATATCATTTATCATATACTGACTACACAGGTGCAGTTTCACCTGATCTTAGTGAGCACAAAGCCTAACATTGCCCAGGGACTACTTTTAACACTTTTCCCAGGGCTTGCCAAGCCTGACTTTCTTTCTAACTCCCCGAATTTTCTATGATTTTAAAATCTTTTAGTATCACATACTCCTGGTGTTACTTTATAACCATGCTCTCTTTATCAGCAGTGCATTATTTTGGATAAAACATGTTCCAGGCACATAGCAAAAAGCATGAGTTATAATGTTTCTTCCTGTACTGCAACTTCCTTCCTATAAATCACTGCCCTTCAGTGGCTTTATCTATGGAGAGAGAAGATTCACTGGAGCAGGTTTTCCCATTCCTTTCGGCAGAGATTTCATCTTTGGCAGCACTTGATCATTTTCTTAATTCACAGCAGGCCTTAAAAACCCAGATCCAATATTCTGTGCCTCCCCAATGGTGCAGCTGTTTATCTGTCACTAAGTACCCTGCCCAATCTGCCTGGCATTAATAGAAATGGAGATTTACCACTCCTGGGGTGTCAGTGCTGGGGTTCAAATCTCAGCAGGAACAACAGAAAAAGGGTTTCTGCTCCTATTTACATTGGTGCAAATAAAGAGAAGATCAGATAAAGTCATAACAGCAACAGTGCAAGAGCAGGACTGACAATCATTTCCAGGCTTCTGTTAAACCACTGTGGGGTTGTTCCTATAATTGTCATAGCAGACTCATAAACTAACCCAAACTTCCCAATAACCTGTGCTGGCTTTATGGCAATTTCAAAGATATTATTTCCCAAGATATTCTTTTCTCATTTTTAGAGAAATATATGTTTTATGTATGTTTTATGGATCTGACAATGCATTCCCATTAAAAAGAGTTACAACACCATTATCATGAAAGGAAACTGCAAATGTACAATTAGTTTTCCCAGGTTTATGACACTGCAGATTTTATTTTTTGGCTTTGTAACAAATATTTATCACATTAAAATCAGGAGAGTGTTTTACCTCTTTGTTTTCTTGCAAAGACATGCAACTTATGTTAAAAATGTTTCCTCTTGAGTTGCTGGGTTTGTGTTGTGAGTAAATACTGCTGGGATGAGATAAAATGTGATATAATAAACTCACAAATGTGTCACTCCCTCTTTTATAACTTCAAAACCTGCATGGCAGGAAGGCCGTGAGTGGAAATTTAAGGGAAGATTGATCCTTAGAGAAAAACTCTGTCTTTCCTCAGTGGAATTTGTGTCAAGCCCAGGTCAACTGACTAGCATATGAGCATTTCACATTTTATTTTGTTTGTGAACTGTGAAAATTTTATATATGTTTGATATCAGGAGAGTTCTTTCAGCATCATTACATAAAAGTCAAGAATGAAAAGACAGTTTTAAGGGATGACTTCTTAAAAAGAGCTGATTGCTGTCTTTTCTTACATTTTCTTGAGTGAAATCTTAAACCTGTGAAAGGCTGTAAGGTATTTTTTACTAACTTCACTAGTACTAGAATTTTACTTCTAATACTTTAATTGGAACTAGGGAGACATCAAAATATGGTTAAGATCCATTTTCAAAAATGATTGCCTGAAGTTAAGTTCCACACAAGTGACCTGATTTTCAGAAATGCTGAGTGCAGTTCCTATTAAACCATTGAGAACTGAGTATGTGGAGCTCATGAGAAAATCAGTTTACTTAAATGTCTAAATATAGTTGCATGTGCCCAGCTTTAGGCACAAATATTTGGAATTTGACTTCATATTTTTCTGGTACTCTTCTTACCAAGCTAATAATTTTTCAATGAGTAAAACTAGCTTTTCTCAGAGTTTCAAAAAAGGCAAGTAAATATCTAACAAATCCCATTCCTAGTTAAACTGGGGTTTTCCCTCCTAAATCTATTATTTGTTAAGTACCTTACCAGTGTGATCAGGTTATCTCTACAAATGCAGTATTTAAATGCTTAAACTTGGAGATTTTGTTAAGTTTTCATCATTTTCACTCTTTGAAAGTGAGCTGTATCTTACAGAATGCAGTGCACAAATAATCTAATTGCAGTGTAACATTCCTTCTAAATATGAAAATATCTGATACTGAAATAATAAAATAATAATAAAAAAAAAGATGAACACAATAATCCTAAGCTTTGAAATCAGATGCTAATGCTCTGTCTATTAAAATCGATTGTGTTAGGCTGGAATGAGTTTGAGTTCATTGGAATATATTTACTGTAGTGTATAAAGAGACTTCCAAATCAGAATATTTTTTGGAAATTGCTTCTGATAAAGCACAAACCAGAATGGAATAGCTGATTTTTGGATAACTATGCCATTCTCACTGTAGTAAAATATGTTCTTTTGTTGGGGAATTTTAACAACGTGCTTGCAAAAGGTAGAAAAGTGATGAGAAAGTGGCAGTCTGGAGTCACTTTCCTGGCCACTCCATAAGGTAATTGAGTCTGATACCATATCCTAACTTACCTAACTATTGTGCCTTGCTGTAATGCAGAACAGATGTAAAAACTGCCAGTGTGTGCTGGTAGCTTCTGTAAAACAGACAAAAAGGCTTAAAAGGCTTTTATATAAATCCACAATTAGGATTCAGTAAAACCCCTTGAAGTCAATTTCTGTTAAACCATATCAATAGTTTATCACTCAGCTCCCTCTTTCCCTACCTTTCCTGTCAAGAAACTGAAGCCTCAATTTTGTGATTTAGTTTCTTTTGCAAATAACTCATTAATAAAATAAGTCTGTTCAAATGGACAAACATAAAAGCTTTCTGGAGATCTGGACCTGAGCTTTAAATCATCTCCCTGCCTAATGCATGGAGCAATCCACTGCAGCTCTGGCTCCTTGTCAGGCTCCCTCTACTTGGGCTGCAGAATTTACCTGGATATTCACATTTGCAAACTCTGACTACCTGTCAGATAGAACTTCTTTGGTTAAAAATCACTGATGTCAACCCATAAAAGAATTGAGCCTCCAGTGTTTTGAGTGTTTTCTAGGGAAAAATGGTGATTCACTGTGTTCTGCCCATGGAGCTGCTTGAACCATAAGCAAATAATGTGCTTGATGAATCGTTCACGCTTCGTTGATCTGAAATTTATTGGTAAAATAATATTATTCAGCCCTTTTTTAAAATAATCACAAAGTCCACCACTTTTGTGGCTTAATACATTACTGCTGAAATTATCATCAGTTACTGTGAAATACCATAGAAACTGTCCAATAAATGTGATGGATTGTGTAATTAACTCTTGATCAGCACCGTTTTTCAGAGATGCTACCCAGTGAACCTGAGGGCACTTTACGACCTTCACACTGGGTATACAGCTAATTACTCCTTGGGCAATAATTATTAAGTTTTTTTAGCCTCAGTTTGTCATTTTGTCTTCTAAATTATTATGCTATTGAGCTTCTCAATCCATTTGGCTATAAAACTGCAGCTCTCAGAGGGCTTCCTAAATTGTCTCTGTGAGTGTATGGATTACACCAACTTCATTAAGTAGATTACAGGGATGTCTGTTTTGCAGGTTTTCCATTGATCGCCACACTGACCTTGAGAGACAGTTCAACATCAACGCAGAGGATGGGAAAATAACTCTGGCAACACCCCTGGACAGAGAAACCAGCACATGGCACAACATCACTATTGTAGCCACTGAAACCAGTAAGTGTTTGTGTACTCTGACTGTTCTGTTGGGTTTATAATTGATTTTAACAGGCTGTGCAGTGGAAACTTTACATAATTCAGTAAAATAAAATGTATTGGGTGTTCAAGTTAGAGAATTTTGGAAAGAAAGATTAATTTTTTGTGCAAACTCCATTTCTTTTGGTTTTCACAACTGCATTTTTTTTCCAGTGAATATGGTGATAGAGATTCTGAAGAGATAGATGAGTACATATGTACAGGGTATGCAGGGTAACCATTAAAAAATGGTTTAAAAAGCCTAAACCAAAGCCTTATAATTAGCTCTATTAAGACAGAAAAAATTAAAGCTTTACTATTGTAAAAGTAAATTGAAGGCTCAACCCAGATGTTCTTAATTCTGAGTGCTATTATGTTTCAGAGCCATAAATGATTAAGCAGAGGGGTAATGTTGCATGAAAGTAGTGCTGTTGGATACATATGGATGAGTTTACTCACACCCAGCTCTCAACAAGAACCTGCATTGTTCAGGTCCACAGAGCCCTGGTGGCTGCTCTGCACACCTGAGGCAGGAGACCTGCCCTGCCTGGCAATACGGGTCAGAGATTTTCATCAAGGAGAATTCTTAATTAATTTGGAGCTGCTGACAGGATCCCATACGACAGTGTAATTTATTATTCATATTAGCACTGTGTTTTAGACAATGCATTTGACACAAGTGGATTGAGGCAAGGGAGCAGGTGGGGAGGATGGGGCTGCCACCCTGTGTCGTGTCCTGGACTGGAACACAGACCCTGGAACGTCTCTGCTGATGCCTCAGTTCTGTACTCAGCGTGGAGCAGAACCCGTTTGTGCATGTGCTGGAGCCAGCACTGTAGGAACATCTGTCTCCAGAGCCTGGTGATGGGTGCTGCTCACTCCTGCATGGAGAGAATTGCCTGATGAGATGTTTGCTTTGCCCCTGAAGTTCTGCTTTGAACAGTGCAGCATCGTGGTACAGAGCATTTGAAGCTCAGTTTCATGAACATAATAAATTGAGGGATAACATATGCTTATTTGGCCCATTTTTGTTTAATATCTTTCCTGTGGCACTTGCTTTCAAAACCAAACATATTAGGAATGCGTGACACACCTAAGTGGGAAAGGTGGGTCTGGGTGTGACCTGAGCTCCCAATTTACAATCCTTGTAAGTGTCAGGTGTTCCCCTGACCCACCTCAGCAATGGGGGATTTCATTGCCAGCAGTGCCCACAGTGCCCTCTCACTGTTCCATCCTGCAGCCAAACAATACTTTAATAAATTAGCAAAAATTCTTTCTGCTTGCAGGGAAGCCAAGAACATGAGGAAAGAAAGGAAGGTGTGGTTCCATCAGGGATACTTTCTCAGTTTAATATCTAACCAGTTAATAATTTTTATAAAGGAAAAAAATATAAAATATCCATATTAATTTGATGAGATTTACCAACAGCATGGAAAACAGAATTATTAGTTTACGATCCAACACCCTCAGACACTGGAATAGTAAGATGTAAAGTGAAGTCATTTAACAATTTGTTTCCTCCAAAAAGTCAAAAAGGAACAAGATAAAAGGAATAATTTTGCAAGACTCTCCTCCAGTTCATTTTTATATCTCCTTTACGTGGGTGTCAGAGTAAAGTTGCCAGAACTGCACTTTACTAAGCCACACGAGCATGAAGTCTGCCTGTTGCATTTTCAGTTTTTTGAAACATAATTATACTCAAGAATTTTGTAAGAAATCAGCTTTGTCATTAGACTTCATGGGAGCCTCAGCATCTACTGCTATTGTAAAATTGCCTTTTATCAGACTATGGTTATGAAAATAATAATGCCAGTCTTGTTCTAAGCATTTATGTTCCTGCTGATGGCTTATTTTTTGCATTCCTAATATAATTATTTGACATTTGCATAAAACAAGGGCTTAATTTCATAGACTACTATCTTCGCTTATTTTAGTGAAATTATTTTTAAGCTCCTCAAGCAGAAATTAAATTTGCTTATGGAACTGTCAAACAGGGGGAAATGGGCATTTTTAGATTTTTTTCCAAGACAGCAATAGACAAAATCTCTGTTGTAAAATAACTGAAATCTGTTGGAGACAGACACAAGCAACAAATGCAAATACAGAGTGTGTCATTACGATGCCTTCACTGACAGTCTTATTAATGGACTGCTGATCTCTTGCAGGAAAATAAATATGTCGGAATTGTTCTTGCAGGAACATTTCCTCTTCCTGGGCTGGCTGCTTCCCAGGGCTTGTGCCAGGCTCTCCTCTCCATCTGCAGGGCAATGACCAGACCATTTAATTGCCATTAAATTTGCTTACTACTCATAAGCCATCATACTGGATTTTTATTTCTTGATTCCCAGTGTGGTAGATCCTAAATATGCCCTGATTTAGCAACACTTTTTATGAACAGTGACTTTTGACAAACTGTAATTCACTATTTCAGCTTTGTGCTGGTAAGGTACCTGCATCTAAATTTGTGCTCTAACCCGAGGGAATTTTGGGCAGTTTCCTGCTTGTCATCATGACAAAGTTATTTATTTGTATCACCCCTCAGCCACTGGCTTAGGTAGGAATCTTCCAAGGCAGGATTGGTGTGGCTAAATGGAGTGTTACTGCTTCTGCATTTTCACTTGAAATAGGGATGAAGATCCTAAGGCTCAGACTGGCTGATCTTTCTAAAAGTGATCAGATTTTAAATGTGTGTGGATAATTTTAAGCATTTGTAATCCTAATACTCCAAAATATGAATTTAACCCTTTCATTCTAGCAAAACAAGGAGAAGAAAAGCATTAGCCAGTGGGGAATGTGATTCTTCTACATGTACTTGATAGGCAAAAGACCAGTTTGGGTTTTTTTTGTGAGATTTTTTGTGGTGTTTTTCATTTAGTTGGGTTTTTATTCAGAAGAAATACATTTTCTGTTCTCATTCATAGGCAAGTGTCTGGCTAGTGCTTGTTCAGAACAAATTCATGCTATTAGTGAGAAACAGCATTAGTCGTATTCTGAGACCTGTATGAACTGAGACATTTTGGATGGTGCTGTTTCCTCCTTTACTTTCCCACTGCTGACACTCTTTTGAAGGAGTTTCTAGTTTTCTACAGCCTTAATTTTCAGGAATTAAACTGTCCAGTCTGACTGAAGAACTGCCTTGAGTGGCTCTCCCTTAGACATTTGCCCAGATGTTTTATTGCCTTTACATTCTGGCTCCTGAAAAGCGTGGCCAGTGCGCAGGGCTTTTGCCTCCTGTTTAAATCCCAGTAACCACGGTGCATCCTGCTTGTGTTGAGGGACACAGCTGGTACAGGCAGCTTGGTGTGCAAACTGCAGGTTGGGCTCTGCGTGGGAGCCCAGAGAGACAGGACAATGTGACCTGTGACCCTTTGTGTGACAAGGGACGAGGACCTGTGGCACAGCTGGGTGTGGGACACCCAGAGTCAGAGCAGGAACCCAGGGCTCAGGAAGAAGAGCCAGAGCTTCTCTGTGCTCAGGCTGTGGAGGGATAAAAGCCCAGGGACCCCAGACTTTGTGGGGTCCCTCCTCAGAGGCACAGGCTCAGGCTGTGTCACTGTGCTGGGAATAAATGTCACTATGGAATGAGACATCTGAAACTCTGCCAAGGGAAACCTGTGCTGGAAGCAGTGAGGAGACCTGCTCTGGCTGTGGGGTGTGGGGAGTCAAGAGGGGGACCTGGATCCCAGCAGTGACAGTGTGGGGTGGTGGGAGTGTGCCTGACAGTCCCACAAATGCTCACAAGGAGGTTCCCTTAATAGTTGCATGCCCACAAGAGTGAATCCTTTAATCTTTTTGTGGTTACTAGAGATTAAACCATGCAAAGAGCTGTCTGTGGAAAAGAATGAACTTATTGGGATTAACACAGTACAGGTGATGGTTAGGTGCTGATTTCAGTATTTCAGATTTAGTTACATGTTTTCCTTTAAACTCCTTCTGCAGCTTTGGTCCTCTCAACTGCTACCCCTAAATCTGTCTACTCCTAAATGTCTTCTGCACATTTTCCCTATTATGTGATTTCTTATGTCTCTTTCTTATGGGATCAAATTAATTTTTTCTTCTTTGTTGCTTAACTCTATTCCTCGCTCGTCTCGTCTGTGCTGATGAATTCTGCCATGAGGATTTTTAAGAGAAGATAATATTAGAAAGAACTTTGACATCTTTGAAAGATGCCTCTGAAATGAAGGCTTAGGGTGTTCGGAAGAAATACATTCCTGGCAAGGGCGAGACTCAAAGCTATTGAACCTGTGAATTGATTCTTAAATTTTCTTTCTACATTGCCATTCATCCAAGTTTACCCTGCTGAATGGAAAGGAGCAGGAATATCCAGGTGATGACAGGCTGGAGGAAGCAGGTCCACTGTCAAAATGATTCCCTGAGATGAACCTTTGTGCTCTGTGGATATAAAGGGTGAACGTTGTCACTGACTCTGGACTTTAAACACTGACCTAATGAGATTTCCCATTAGTTTGTGGTGTAGCTGAGACTTACATGAGCTTAAAGTTGTAGCCAAGGTTGGGAGGTTTATTTTAAATTTAAATGCATGAGAGAGGGGTGAATGTAGTCTTGCTCTGTAAGTCAGAGTTGATAGTGCTGCTCATGTGTTGGAGCTCTCGAGCTATAGCCTGAACAGGAAAGGAATCTGGGGGCATGTGCAAGGATTTTTTGACAGCCTGAATTGCAGTGCAGTAAGAATGAATGATTAAATTACAGACGTCTCTTTTGGTGCATCTTTTCTGTGTGTACAAAGGCTCATCATATCTTTGGTTCTTTGCTACATGCTTGAAATGAATTTTCTACCATTCAGTAAAATCTAGTGAAGTCAGGATCCTAATAGTCAGATGCACTCCCATTCTTCTGAACCCACAAATACATTTCTTCGTTGTGTAGATTACAATTATAGTTGTAACTGCTGCTCCCATTGACATGCTTGTGTTGCTGGCATTAACTGGCTGCCAATTTTGCTGGGCAGTGAAGCAGAGCAG